TATGCTTTTGGTGTGTAAATTCAGCAAAATAATCCAACATAGTCCAGTAGTCCATAATAGTAGTGGATTATCCATATGACTGGCAATGTCAGAAGTTGTTGACTTGAGCCTTTTACAGCTCAGCATATTAATATGGCTTTACTTTTTATACTGTGTTTTTATACTTTTCTGCTGGATGGTTAAGACCAAGATAAAGCAAGACAAACATATCAAGAAATGTAACTTCTGTATCTGACAAGGTCAGTCAAATCCACTCAGGATTTACCCTGAAACTGTGTATCACAGTTTGTAGATTTTTGCCAGTGTCAGCCATGTGGATGAGTCATGGCCATTGTTTCACCAATTTGTTCTCTGTGAAAGTCTGAGAGAATGTTTTCTCTCTAGGTGACTCTCCTTAGGCATACTCTACATTGTCAGTCACTTTCCTTTGTGGCCCCATAATGTCCTTGACCAGAAAATTTGGGTCACCACTGAGTTACAGGATGTTACAGTACAGGTTCTCTTGTGTCCTGAGTCCTCACTGACCTTGAAAGGCTAGGGCCAAAATGTTGACTGCCCTTCTTTTTCTCTAAATTTTGGTCTGCAAAATTAAGTTGTTAACCCTCCAGAAGAGAAGCTTCTATAACATAGGCAGTTAAGCTTAACACATCACTATCTGTCTGAACATCAAACATCTTAGACATAACAGGGAACAGTGTTTTCAACAATCATTGATATGCTAAATTTTAAATCCCTATAGAAACATGATTTATGCTTGTTTTTATGTGGCATGGACAGCCTTTGGCTTCTGCTGGATAATGAAATTTGTCTTTCCTGCCAAACTTTTTTCTCTTCTCTCTTTTTTTCCTTTTCTCTTATCTAAGAGTTTTATCTTCATGTGACACATATGGTCTTTTGCTATAAAGAATTAAGAGTAACATAAGTGATACAGAGGAATGGGACTAGGAATGAAGGAAAAATCATACAAGTCAGCATTATGTGGGTGTTTTGAGGTGGTGGGATAGTAGTTTGAGAGGTGAGAGATGTGGACATGTAAATGAATGAGGAAAAGAAGTTATGGAGAATTAGAATCAGTTTTGTATTTTGTGAGAAACATAGTGAATAATTCTGTTTACCAGTGGCCACAAAGTTTTCAATTTTCATTAGCATTATACTGCCGTCTTGCAATGAGAACAGGTCTGATATTTGGTTTTGTGCATATATGGATTACATACGCTTGATAGCAGCTTTTGAACATTGTTTGAATCAGATGCATGATTTACTGACTCATTAACTTGAAACCAACTCCATTCCAAACACTGTTTGAGATCATGCATGGATAAAACAATCCTGATCTCTGAGTTCATGGAATATATACCCCACAAAATGAAACAGATATGTAATGTTAATTAATTTATTTATTTTTATATATTTAGTACAGGGTCTTCAGGGTCTACAGGGTGTCACTATGGAGATCGGACTCACAGTGATTCTCCTGTTTTCAGCTTCCCAAGCACTGGGATTACAGGTCCACACCACCATGCTTCAATAGCTATCTCAGTGCCCCCTGGGGGTGGGACCAGCACAGAACGCCAAGGATCAAACCCCAGCCTCTGCACTCTGCCTAAGCAGGAGCTTTAGTCTGCTGAGCTCTCTGGCTGGCTCCAGATGTGTAATGTTCAAACACAAGCACAAGAATAGTGTTATGGTTTAGATTTATAATGTCCTCCAGCGCCTCATGTGCTTGAAATATGATTGGATTATGGGGGCATTAGTGCTGACTTGCCCTTGGGAGGGGGTTTCTGATCTGAAAAGGGTGGTGGCTGTCACAATGACCTCGGAGGTATTGTCTGCCTACCCAGCTCCTCTCTTTACTTTCTGCTTCCTGGTTCCCAGGAGATTTGAACATTTTTCCTCTGCTGGACCTCCCTATCTTTGTGTGTCTGACTCTTGCTTGCCAACTCTGCAAGAAAATAAATTTTCCCTCCTTTAAATTGGGAGTGTTGGTTTCTTTTTCCCACAGACAAGGGAAAATATCTAGGATAAATTGCTATAATTTCAGGGAAAGTCCTGTAAAGAGAAAGTTGAGGGAATTAGAGTATTGGAGACAAGCTTACAGACCTAAGCTATCTGATGGAGGGTGTCAATGAAATCTTCTGAGAGATGAACTCTGCATAACCTAGGTGATGATTACTGCAGTCAGATTATTTATGTGCACTGTCCACATTGTGCAAGATATGGTTTCTTTTCAATAATTAAAAGGGTCAAAAACTAGATGCTGGTGTATTATCCTTAAGAAAATGTAAAACACAGAGCACCATGTCCTTGAGATGTCTTGTTGCATTCCCAACACTGTTGCCAAGTCAAGGGGACACTGTACCCAGAGAGAAATCAGAGTGTCCAGATAAGTATTATCAAAGGGACACTGAGAAACAAGCAAACTCGTGTTATTTGTAGATATTGCCTTCCTGCCCGAATGCAGAATCAGCCCTTTCAAGGAATGCTGGCCATATAATGAAACAAAGCTGGCTGGTGATGTCACCTCTGTGTAGTTATGTCTATAAAAATCTGCCTCTTGTGATACCTGGGCACAGATCAGAGCTGGCTGCCATTGGACACTCCAAGAATCTTCTGGAGGCTCCCTATCAGCATACTGCCACTAAACCTCACGGATGGTCTTCTAGCCAACCTGTCACCCCTGGACTCTCTCTGGTAAGTATGTCTCAATTTATCATATTCTTTCATGTAAATGCTTATCAAAGTTTCTTAATAAGCCTTATTTATCACAAACCATATTGAGATATTTTCTTCAGCCTATTAACTCCGTAGTCTATTGTCCTAACAATAGACTATTTTCCAATGACAACAACGAAAAAATGAAATCCAAGACTGTCCTAACAATAGACTAAGGTGGTGGACAGGACATGCATTGAGCGAGATAAGCAGATAAGGAGGTAAACATGGGAATGTTCATAGTGTATTAAAATTTCTTAAATTTTGCCATATGTCCACATAGAAACTATTCATAGCTGTATTTTCTTTCCTTTCTCAGTTTTGCTTTGTTGATATTCAAAAACAAAGTGTCCGTATTGAAGAAGACCATAGTTCAGGGAAACCCAACTTTTGAGAAGTTTTACTCTCAGGAACACTTACGCAGTTCTGCTAGGTGGTACAACAGATAGCACTATAAAATTTACATTCTGTGACTGTCTACTAATGGAACAGTAAATAATTGGGACTAGCTTGACAGATTAAGAAATCTAGCACTGGCAGTATTGCAGTCTGTCCTGAGATATGTAGCAGTACAGAGGAAAGGGGAGAGAGTAGAAGTGTTGTCACGTAACTGTTTGAAAGTTATACAAAATGCAGTGGTGTAATTAACAGACATACTGAATCCCAGGCAAACAATAGATTATTTGCTTGTTCTTAGGTTCATGGCACCATATAAGAAAAGAAGAAAAAAAATGAAGGGATTGATTTATAATAAAATAAATCAGAGATTTGCTGCAAGGAAACATTTCACTTATGATTTAGTACAATGATAAATCTGGGGATTTCAGAAAGTGAGGATTCCATCTCACTCTCCCTTGGTCATTACCTTTGAAGTCCCTACCTACACTTTCCTGTTTAACCATATCCACACTAACATGGTAGAAATAGGGAAGAAGATTTTGAGGATTCCCTAGGGAATAATTATTCACAACATTTTTCCAAAGTGTAAAGTAAAATTGTAAGTCATTCACATTTTAGTTTCAAAAAGAAAAAAAAAAACTCTTAAAGATTGACCACATCATGAAGACTAATGTCTTGAATTTTGTGGGTTAGCACAGATCCTCATATCAGTGAAGAGCATTTAGGAGGAAATAGTGAAGAATGTATTTTTCTTTTCAAACTCTGTCCCTGTGCTCGTGTTTTTCAAATAACCTGAGTAGTTGCACTTGATCAATACGGTATGGAGGAGGCTGGGTGTGTGAAAGACACACAAACACAGGGACAGAATTTGTAACTATAGCTTGTGATTAGTGCCCTTTGGCTGCTTTCTTTCTTTCTTTCTTTCTTTCTTTCTTTCTTTCTTTCTTTCTTTCTTT